ACAAACCACTTCATCGCCCAATCAGTCGCCGGCAACACACATACCATTCAAACTAAACCTCAAATTTAATAAATTTATTGATTATTTGGCAAAAAAGTCAAATCAAAACTACATCCGATATAATAACTTATATAACACTTCATATGATTTACATCTAAAACGGCGTCACAGGAGTCGGACACCAAAAGAGAGTCCAAAATAAAAGTCAATTAAACCCTAAAAACTAGAAAACCAATGGAAGGGCTAATTGGCGGACAGGCGCTGGTCCTCAGCCCTCTTCTCCAACTCCTTCCTGAGCGCAACGACACACTTAGCCATCGTTGGCGACGACCGCGATATGACGTCCGTCTGGTAATAGTCTAACAACTCGTTTAACTTAACGCTCAGCCGGAGGGCGGCGTTCACTGTGGGCTGAGCCGCCTGTCCCTCGGCGACGGGCGGTCTGATGGCTCGCATTCTCACGTTTTCGTTACAGTAGACCAGATTCGGCGCCAACTCTTTCATCCGTTGCCGCAAACCTATTAACGTGTCGTAAGCGAGCGTATGGTTCGTGATCTCAGACACGGCCCGCACTATCTTCCAGTCCTCTCTGGCCATCGATGGGGGCGTTATGGCGGCCAACGTCTGCTGTGCCCGGCCCTCGAGGTTGGCGTAAATCGACTGCTTTTCGGTGAAGGCGGCGCCCGGGAGGACCACATCGGCCTGACTCGCGCCCACCTCTCCCGTGTGACCCTATTTCGGGCGACAATCAAACAAAAAGTTGAATACAAACTCAAACGCATCTCTCGTGCAAACCACTGGCCATTCATTACCTGATAAATCAAAAACGTATTCTTCGGCACTCGAAAGCCGCGGTCGTCGACGCCGAACAGCCACACGAGCGCCGGCTCCCCGTTGTCCTCCAGCTTCAGCTCCGAGTCGGGTCTCAAACCCAAGTCAAATGCGGCCACTTGTGAGGCACTCGTATGCAAGACATTGAACTCGGCGTTGAACTTATGGGCGATATATTTGACTAAATCGTAAGCATTGGTCGCATCACTGCTTCGGAGTATTTGTTGCCCTAATATGACGACCGGTTTCTTAGCGGCAGACAAGCGCTTATTGATGGCGTGCGAGCCGTCGGCCACCGCTTTCAACGTCTTCATGTCGTCGCCCAACCACTCGTAATC